TATTATCTGACTCATCATCTTGGCCCTTTTCTGTTGGCTTAATTTTTATTATCAATAACTCTCCTAATTATGATCATCTTCTAGAGGGGGTTGCAACCCACTGGCAGGTCATGAAATCAATTCAGTGGTTTCTCAGGAGGACATAGGAGAAGAGGTAAGAGCATGGAAAATATCAATGTAATACATGGATGCTTTATTGTTACATACAAGTCTTCAGTTACACAAGTGTGTGCTAGCGCTGGCCTAAAATATAAAAATGCCTTTCTCCCTGGGGTGGGATCAAAACAGTTTGAAAGTGACTGACTCAAGATTTTACCCTAGGGGATAAATAGAATGAGTCTAATTATCTTTTGGGGGAGATGTTTGGCTAATTTATCATTTTGGAAAACACTGTTGAGTCCTATTTTGAAGCTGTTATGACCAAGGTTGTAAAAGGATCACGGAAACTTGCCCTTTTCCCTTGGTTGGTTTGTTGAAAAATCAACTCACAATTATGGTAGATTAGTGAGAGAAAGGTTTATTTCCAAATACCATGCGCATGGGGAGAACCACAGGAATGATTACCCAAAGTCTTAGTGATGGTCAGAGATTTTTATAGATGCCTTTTGAAAGGGATGGGGGAGAATGTGGAAAGTATAGGTGTAGCAAGTGGTTGCTGGGGGATGTGTGTAGATGGGTGGAAACAGACTAATTTGTAGATTACTAAGAGAGACAGGTACCAGGCTTCAAATGTCCCTGGGGCTAGGCTTATTAACATATAATAAGGAAGTCAACAGCCTCCCCCCCTCCCCTCCCAATGCACTGCAGGTTTTATGTAGATAGAGGAAAGGCCTCTTTCAGTATTTCCTGATCATGAATGGCCTGTAATTCAAAATACTTTTTTTTTTTTGAGACAGAGCCTTAAGCTATCCCCCTGGGTAGAGAGGTGTGGCATCACAGCTCACAGCAACCTCCAACTCCTGGGCTCAAGCAAGTCTCCTGCCTCCGCCTCCCAAGTAGCTGGGACCACAGGCGCCCATCACAACGCCTGGCTATTTTTTGGTTGCAGCCGCCCGGGCTGGATTAGAACCCACCACCTTAGGTGTGGCTGGCGCCTTAGCCACTTGAGCCACAGGTGCCGAGCCTCAAAATATTCTTTATACCAAGGAGTCATATATTCAGGCAAAATTTCCTTAGCTCCTTCAGTTGCTACTCAATGACCCAATTTCTCTTTCACTTGGTTTTACCTGGTGCCCACTGGTCCTTACTGCTTTTGATAAGGTTATCTACTTTTTGGATCTTGTTTAGCTCTTGCATAGTTTTTTTAAAAAAATCTTTATTGCTCATGCAAATAGGAAAAGGATACTATGTATTCTGTATCAAAAAAGACCTAATAAAACAGCTAAATTTTGCAATTGCCTACTTATTAAAGTAATATATTATCTCTCCTTTCTCTTGTATTAAAACTATCTTTTTGTACACTATTTGTTCTTTTCTTAAGCTTCATTATGAACCAAAAGACTTTTAGAGGCTGTATTAATTTCAATGAATCATAATCATTCTTTATTATGTTATGCATAAGCTGTCACAACTCGGTTTCAGCTTGCTCTCCTGTTCTATTTCTGAAAGCATTCATGATTTCTCCTAATAAGACAATACTCCCAAACTATCCTTTGTTCTTACCCTGTGATTTAAAGTTGACTCTTGTCCCCTGAGTCTTAGTTCTTTACTGGAAAATAAAATAAGACAGACCTACATCTAGGCACTAAGAGTGAACAGAAATGATGGTGCGCAAAAGCAGAACAGCAATAGCACCTATGAGATCACTTTAAGGTTGTAAGTTCATATGATTTTTTTCTAATTTAATGTATTATATTATTGTACCCTTCCTTTTTTTGCTTTTAAACGTGTATTTTTGTTCACTGCTTAAGATTTCCTCTTGCACTAACAGGAATCTTTTACAAACAGTACTAGCACTCACATCTTGAAAGACTGGTTCCCACTGTTCTCTTGGTCCAATTGCATCTGACCGCCCAACAACAAGTCCATCTGAATTTATACCAAGATATTTCCCATAGCCAGATTTCAGGGCAATTCTTTAGATTAACAAAAGAGATAAAATGTTAAAAACTGAGTGAAAGAACATTAAATATGAAACATAAAAACAATGTATATGTGTATACATAAAAAAATTCAGACTAGGCATATTTCAAATGTTCAAAAGTTTCATGTGGCTAGCTGCTGCAATATTGAACACTGCAGTTCTACAATTTTGTATTCTGCTTTTCTAATATAAGCATTATATAATATCTTACATTATTATTGCATGGCAAACATTTTCTAAATTCATTATTCTTCAAATTTACTACTTTTAGGAGTTATAACGTTCTCTTACAGATTAAAATTTGTTTTTCCTGCTCTATTACAGTCTTACTGATATCTTTTCAGTAAAAAAAATTGCAGTTTTATCCTTACCAGAAATTCATAGGAAAAAAATTATTGGATGGAAGGATATCCATTTTAAAGCATTTGTAGTTAGGTGTCAAACTGCCTTCTGGAAAAAGCTGTATCAATTTACATTCTTACATCAGATCAAGTGAGCACCTTTTGTATCGTAAGCTCTTTAAAAACTACACCTTTAAGAACATACCTGAAAACTTGATATGGAAAAAACCATTATGCCATTAAATTTGCATTTTAGTTATTAAAGTAGCACCTGAATTTCTTTTCTTTTCCTTTTTACTTTTTAAATGACATGGTTGTGGCCCTTGTCCATCTTTCTGTAGGGGTTATCAGTATCACGATTTCAGTATACTCATTAGAAGAGCAAGAACTCACTGCTTATTAAGGTTGCTGCAGATATTTTCACTTATTAATTAACTTTGTTGATAATTTTATGCTTACTTTTCACTTGTTAATTAGTTTTGTTGATAATTTTATGTTTATAACAGTAAAGCAATTTTTATCTTTCTTTTCTTCTTTTGCTTTTATTTTTTGTCTTTTACCATACTTTCCAGACTTTCAAAGAAAGTGCAGAAATAATCCTAATGTGATTTAAAAAAAAAAATTATGATTTCTGGGTGGCACCTGTGGCTCAAAAGGGTAGGGTGCCAGGCCCCATATGCTGGAGGTGGTGGGTTCAAACCTAGCCCCAGCCAAAAAAAAAAATTATGATTTCTAATCTTTTACTTTACCAATCTCCAGGGATGCCAAAATGGACTTTATACTCATGCATAGGTTAATCATAATACTAATCATTATCATGTAGATGTAACCAGTTGCCACTACGTACTACCTAACGTATCACTCTGCACCCTAAGACTAAAAAAGGTCACCTCGTAAAATGATTGTAAAAATGAGCAAAATATTCTTTATGATGATGTAATATTCCCTGTTGGTTTCAAGGCACCCTTTCTTTTATACTCCTGTTGGTTTCCTAACTTCTGATCAGTGAGTTTAGATATGTGGGTCATTATAAAAGTTTTGAGATGCACAAAATCAAGAAACAAAAGCTAAGTGTACAGAAATGGAGCCTTCCCAGTAACACTGATCAGCTCACCAAGTTGAGACCTGCATGGGTAAATCACACAGGATGCTGAAGTAAAATAATGGACCATAACAGTCTGTCTCGAAACTTCCATAGTGACCTACATACGACAGCAGCACTGGGACAGGTTTTGCATCATGCTTGATTTCTTCACATGGTCTATCTGTGAATTAAGCTTAACTTACATATTTTTTTCCAGCCTAGTTTATAGGAAACCCAGTAACAGCAGATCACAGTATCCACTTTTCAAAAAAAATTATTTTGATTTTTCACATAAAAATTACTCTATAGGCTTAAGTGTAAGATTTAAGCAGACTTATTTAAATTTTTAACGAAGAAATTAAAAAATAGTTACAAATTGTATTTTAACTCAAGCTTACCTGGAATCAGACAATTTGACAGCTGTAAACTGTTCTGGAGGACTGGGGCCCTCATCAACTATAAAAAGAAAAATATTTGAAAATAAATTTGATTTTTATTATAAACAGATCTAAGACATAGTCTTCGGCTTTAAAAATGTAGATTTTCTCTATCGAAATTAAACTAAGAATATTAAGACATAATTGTAATAATATAGTATCCATAGACTCAAGACCTATTTTATCTTCTTACAAGTGATAGTTTTACCTATTTAATAAGATAGACTGGCATGATACTTATTTAATCATTTTCAAGCTATTTTCTGTTTATTTTTTAAGTAAGCACAATATTTTAAAAACTAAATGCTTTTGTTTCTTCATGGAATAAATAATAGAATGGTCATTCTGACCAAAAGATACTGCTTTTCAACTTCTAATTACTTCATATCTCATTAGCACTTTCTGTGATAGGCTGAAAAGAATGGGAAAACTTCAGATTGTTAAATATACCCAGGTTAATTTTAAAAATAAGTCTAGCAAAGGACCAAAAAGAAATCTAAATCTCTGACTCAGCCAGGGTTTCTTTTGTCTTCCCATTTACTATTTTAATCATTCGTGCTGTTTTCGATTTCCAAAGATACTCTTCTAGAACTATACAGAATGTTTTCAAATGCTTAGACTGGAAAGGGGGAGCTGCCAATGGCTGATAAACACTGAGGAAGGAAAAATAAAGAAGAGCCAAATGTAATGGCTCCAATGCTCTGGAGTGCGCCTGAGGCTGGTTAGAATTTGGCCTTCTGTCCACTGCTGTTCTCGTTCACGGCTTCTACCAGACACAAACCTTCTTTATGTGGGGCCCCCAATGTGAAAAGACCATTGTCAAGTGCATGTATGTAGGTTCCTTTATCCATTTCGATGGCTATGGTTCCTGAAATTTCACCGAAGTTTGTTACTGTCCACCAGATTCCTGAAAAATACAAACTATATTTAAACTTTGCATTTCAGTTTTGACACAAGGGTTTTTTTGCTTATGGTTGTAACTTATCCCTTAAAACATTTGTTTTTTTTTTTTCAGACAGAGTTTCAAGCTGTCACCCTAGAATGTAGTGACATCATAGCTCACAGCAACCTCCAACCTGGGCTCAAGCGATCCTCTTATTTCAGTTTTTGTATTTTTATTAGAGACAGGGTCTTGATCTCATGAGCTCAAGTAATTCACTTGCCTCAGTCTCCTGGAGTGCTAAGATCAAAGGTGTGAGCCACCACGCCCAGCCTCTTACAACCTTTTATTGTTGTAAGAAACAATACAGAGATCTCATATTCATCCCTTGGACTTACTTTCTCCCAATGGTGACATCTTGCAAAACTAAGACACTGGTATCAATGGGATCTATGAACCTTATTGAGATTTCACCAGTTTTACAAGTACCTGTTTGTACTTACGTGTGTAGATTCACCTAACAACCCCTACTATCGGGATCAGATTCTAATCAGGATCAGAGAGAACAGTCTCTTTCATTCTGAACCCCATCCACCCACCTATTCCAAAACACTGATTGTCACTTTTTAAAACAAAATATAGACACATGCTTCAAGTTATTTCCTTTTACGCCTCATGCAGACTGTTGTGTTGTCTTACAACACATGACAAAGCTTGTCACATACAGTAATATTTTATTTACCTGTTTAGATACAAGGTCTGCTATGTCTAAACAGATAAGAACCACAGGTACCTTGTTAGATAGGGAGTCTGGCATAGAGAAGGCACTGAATGCTGCTTTCTTCTCTGAGGATGACAAACAAACGGCCAACAAACACATGAAAGAACGCTCATCGTCTTTAATCATCAGAGAAATGCAAATCAAGCCATTCTAAGGTATCACCTAAACCCAGCAAGATTAACCCACATCAGAAAGTCACAAAACCCCAGATGCTGGTGTGGATGTGGAGAGAAGGGAATACTTCTACGCTTATGGTAGGATTGCAAACTATACAGCCTTTTTGGAGAGAAGTACAGAGAATCCTCAAAGGTCCTAGTACCAAAGCTGCCAAATGGACAAATATGCCAGTACCAATGCTGCTACATTTGGTAAGACACTGCCATGGCACCCTCTCAGTCTGGCATCAAGGCTACTGCAGACGCCAACGGATAAGGAGGGATCTGTACTCTCTTCACAGTTACTCTGCCTCCCCTGCTGCTCATGCCCAAAGACGAGTAGTTGTGTGAGAGCTCCCCTCATCTCTGATGCACCCAGCACCTCTGTGCTAAGGACCCCTGCAGTCACTGCTGTCATTACATACCTGGCACAAAGGGATGGTGTATCTTAGATGTAGAAATGGAATTTTCCTCCCTGTCATACAGCAATCTATGTACCCTTCACAGAAATGCTGCTCACTCAGAGCTCACCTGGCTTTACGTTCTGAAAAAGAAGGTATCTAGGAGTTTCACAAACTATGCTACTTTTAGTTCAGTGACTTGCAAACCTGGTGGAGCTCACTGAAAATTGTTTTCTTACAGAGATGCTCTTCTTTATTACTGATAGACTTGACATTTTCTTTTCCAAAGACAGAATTTCCATCATCCTATTTGTGGGAAGTAGACAAGCTGAATTCCTCACAGACCTTCCAACTCAGGGTAAAGTGCTCAGTCAGGAGAATGTCTACGTGACTATCCCTGCATGGGAAAATCAGCAGTGCAGGCAGCTGAGACCATCAACTAGTAGCTTAGACCAGAGAAGCTGAGATGTCTCTCTGAGGAGATGAGATGTGCTCTCCCTCGCTCTCTTCTGATTGCACCTTAATTTGGCCATCTTAGATGTTCCACTACCCTATGTCCCAGTTTACCTTTTACCCACCTTCCTGGGGGCTGTAATCTCCCCTCTCTGATACTTAACCTTGACTGCTGACTACTGACTGCTGTACATCCTTGCATGTATACTCTGTTATGTACCCAATATAAGGATTCTGGGAAGCAGGACAGGTGCTGCCTTGCTCTTATGCTGCCATCAGGCACACAAAACAGTGTATGCTCTTACAGGCTTTTGCATTTATACACTAATTTTGGTGTAAGTTTCGTCCTTTCCTCAGCACTGTCTTTTTTGCTGGCCACTGTCCCAGGTTGGGGTCCATTAGACACCCACCACTATTTACCAATCCACACTGGCTTTATGTCTTCCCTTCAGATCTTTGCATAAAACCAACTGAACAGCTTTAACAAATTCAAAGGTTTTTCTTCTTCCTTTTCAAAAACAGGCATATGGTTAATTACACATTAAGCTTGCAAAATCCACAAGGGAGAAGGTAGGAGGGCAAAGAGAAGGACTTCCTCTACCAGCCAGGGCAGAATGAACTTGTCCTCCCACCACAAACAAGTGGGACACTGGACAGAATATGGGAGAAAACTCTCTTCACATCAGGAAGGATGAGACTGTGATTCTCCAGATAAGGAAACACATGAGGCAAACCTAAGGTGACCAGATGTCCCACTTTTGGCGGGAAAGTCCCAATTTTTAACAATTTGTCCCGCAGTGTTTTAAAAAAGTCCCAATTTTTGGAAAGAATGCAGGACAAGCTAGGGAACAGCGGGAGAATGGGAAGGGAATATACAGTTTTCAGCTGCTGAAAAGGTTAATGTAACTCCATTTGGGAATGAAGAGGTTAATGCAACTTCATTTGGAAATGAAAAGGCTAATGTAAACTCCCTACTCCCATTCTGGGCAAGGTTGCCCAGGTGGAATCGGTATCAGAAGGATACTGGCTCCCTCCCTCACTTCTAGGCAAGGACAATTAGCTCAGAAGGAGCCAAACTATCTGGGACAAACAAGTAGCGCCTCCCCCTCTAGAGGGTCCCTAACCATAAACAGCTCAGCCAATAGGCCCTCACCCCATGGTGTCCCGCTTTACCAATGTTAAAATCTGGTCACCTTAGGCAAACCTTGCAAAACCCCAATTCTCTGCCCAATGGCAGTTTCTGGACCACAGAGGAGGGAGGTGGTGCCCAGGACAAGGCAATCTCATTCCTGACATGTGTTACGTGACTGTAGTTTATGGGGCAAGGTACTAGAAAAGAGGCTGTCCAAAAGAGTATGTGATGGCTTCCTGCACGCGGTGTGCGCTGGGCACAGGCCAGCACTGCTGAGAGCTAACTGGAGGTGGCAGAGATCAGGCGAGTCTGGGGGGCATGTGGTGGAGAGGATGTACCACCTGGCACATGTGGCTGAGGCCCCACTGTGGTCACTGCAGTAAGAGCCATCCTTGAATAAGTCTTAAGACAAAACCCTAATAAGAATAAACAAACCAACAAAACTCCAACCATAGAAGTAAAAGCATCTTCATATAATTTAACTAGACTTCAAGGTTATTTATCAGAAATAAAGATACATTTTATCAAAGTGAAAGGCTGAATTTGTAAGGAAGACCTAGCAGTCCTAACTGTGTATGTACCTTAGACCTTCAAATACTTTAAGCAAAAACTGAGAGAAGCAGGTGAATCTAGAATTACAGCCAGAGATTTTAACACAATTCTCCCAGTACATTGCAGAATTAGTCAAACATCAGAACAGCTATCCCTACCTACCAATGTAACGGGACTGAGTCAACACCTGCTGAATACCAGTTCTTTTCAAGTGTGCATGGAAATTCACTAAGGAAGGTTGGCCTCTGGTTCATATGATAAGATAGCTACACTATCTCCAAGTAGTAGAAATTAACTGTGCCCTTTAAAAATAACCTATGGGTCAAACAAAAAAAAAAAATCACAAGGGAAATTTTAATGAAAATGAGAAGAAAACACCAAAATTTGTGGGCTCTAGCTAAAGTGGAGTGAAAAGGTTCTCAAAGTCCCACGATAAGAAGCTATAAAACAACAGCAAAGTAAACAGATTGTAAGCTAAAGAAAGGAAAAACTAAAGATGAAATAAATGAAATAGAAAATGAACCAACAGTAGAGAAAATAAATGGTTAACCTCAAGTGTTAAATAGATGGACTAACCCAGGAAAAAACAGCAAAATCACAAACTGTCAATATGAGGAATGAATAAAGAGACTTCAAAGCTGATTCTAAAGGACACCGTAAGGATAATAAGGGAATATTCTACATAATTTGATGTCAATGAATTCAACAACTTAACCATGAAAGAAAAATCTTCTTAAAAAGATATAAATTATCAAAATTGACATAATAGAAAAATAAAATATTTATTAAAGAAATGCAATTTCCTCACAACAAACCAAACTGAGGGATAATACCCCAGAAAAGTAAAGTCTAAAAAAGTAAAGGCTTTTCAGAGAAGCCCAGGGACACTCCTGCAAGGTCCTCCCCAAGGTAACCCAGACCTTAAGAATTGGTAAAACTTAGCTTTCTAGGTCCTTGAAACTAACAATTGCTGCTTGCTTCCGCTTCTACAAACCCTGCACATGATTTGACACCTCCAGTGAGAAATAATATGGCAATTCCTTTGTCTGTCTACCTGTGAGTCCAATAAAAGGACAAGGACAAAGTTGATTGAGGAGCTCAGTCATTTAGGATTCTGGCTAAAATAAATCCCCTATAATCTTTGGTGAGAGTCTATTGGTTTCAATTCACTGGTCCTGCAACATGCTATTAAGTATGTAAAGAAAAAAACACCAGTCATACGCAGTTATTTCTAAAAATAAGGAAAGAGAGAGTACTTCCAAGCTCATTACATGACACCAATATTACCTTGATACCAAAACCAAATAAAGACATTACAAGAAGAGGAAACAATAGTCCAATACCTCTTACCAACACAGATGTAGAAATCCTTTAAAAAAATTTAGAAATCAAATCTAGCAACACACTAGTGACAATGCATCTCAATCAAGAGGGGTTTATCTTAGGAAGTAAACCTGGTTTAGGATTGAAAACGAAACCTAGTAATTTGTTGGCAGAATAAAT